CGGAAGAAGTAGGTATCCCAAAAAGTTTTCTTATAGCTTGACTCCAATGGGTTGGCAGAGTTGAATCAGTTCAGTGTAGGATTAAAGACTAAAGTCTAAACCCATATTTTCAAACCAATAAAGATGGTCTCTGAACCAAGATCAAACAAGAAGTTATTTCCTCGAAGTTTGATCCAACCAGGAGCAGGATCTGCACTGGCAACCGGTCCTGGTCATCACGACAGGATTCACACGTGAGGGGGAAAGGCTATCCTAGCTCTATTGTAAATTTGTTCTTATTTTAAGAGCAAAGTGAATAACTTGATTCACCATAATAAGATGGGAAGAATGAATGAATAATAAATAATAGGAGATATCTAGCAAATTCATGGTCAAAGCCCTAAGTGGAAGTAAAATACAAAACCGCCCTGTCAAGTCAACAATGAGTCAAAAAGGAAACAAAAGGGCACAGATGTTAGTTACCTCTCCTCCTCTAAAACCAAAACCCTTGTTTTAGACAGACAAGAACTCTACTGTCTTTCATTTTTGTTTTGTTTCTTTGCAATACTTAACCTTAAACACTTTCACTTTATATATAAACTACCTAAAAGAACCATGCAAGAACAGAGAAAATACCATAGGGGAGATTCGGATATTGGATTTAAAAACTATGACTGTTCTTCTTTTTCCCAGTTACTCAAAAAAGTCATGACTTCCTCCAATTCACCAGGGTTTCAGGTTCTTCTTTTATCAACTTTTATGTGTATTAATGGACTCATCTGGCTCCCGTTTGTTATCTGTGTTGTTGGATTTCTTCGGTTGTTTTTGTTTATGTTTATAATGGTAGAGATTCTTGTGTAGTTTCTAAACAAGAATTGTTTTTCTCTATGAAAGTTTGCATCTTTCGGTTTTTTTTTTTGAATTGGGTTTATTTTGTTTTCAATTTTTGGGTGATTTCGGTTTAGTTTGCAGGGTAACATTGACTAGTAAGAAGGGTTTGGCTGGTACTGGTGCGGTGCGGTGTTGTTTTGAGTTTTTTTTTTGTGATAATGAAGTCAGAACAAAATGACGAGACTTACTGTTTTGTTTGGTCTATTTTTTAATGATTTTGTTGGGTTGTTGATGACAATTTTATAATGAGCGTTGACAATTAGTATTAATATAGAGAATCCATCAGAGAAAATTGAAAGTGTTGCTTGTCCAATTTGCATAGTCTGATATGAGTTTCGGATTTTTTGTTATAAAGTGTCAGTGTAGTCAATTATATAAGAATAATTGTTTTGTAGGGGCAAAATGAGATGTTCCAACGGGACGCACAGGTGGGTACAAAACCTGAAGCAGACAGGGTCAGGTTAGAACACCAGGTTGAATGTGCAAATACTTCTAGTGAAGCATTGTCTGTTACACCAGCTGCAATATCTGTCCCACATTCAGCATATGCAACTCAAAAGCCAATGTCAACGTGTGAACTTGGACTAGTAATAGACCAGCAAAATTCTCACCATGAAACCGGTCTTCCACGTGTTGTTATGGATGCACCCTTTATGGATGGCTATAACTGGAGGAAGTATGGCCAGAAGCCAGTGAAGGGTTCTAAAAATTCAAGAAGCTACTATAGATGTGTCCATTGTAGTTGCTATGCAAAGAAGAAGGTTCAACATTGTTGTCAATCTGGTCATGTCGTTGATGTTGTTTACATAGGTGACCATAATCATGATCCCCCTCATAGGAAATGCATCAGGGTTATGTCATCTGCTAAGCCAACTGGGGGTAGTCAAATTGTAGACCCTTCAGTTCAAAAGCTAGATGGGTCGGATATTTCTGTCTGCTCAGCAGATGGCAGGCGTTCATCTCTGCATGTGCCTGAATCAGAACAACAGAGTTCAAGCAGTTCTAATGGAAATGTGGGGGCTAAGATCGAAGAGAAAAATGGTGATGAGTCAGAGTCAAAACGATGGCAAGTAATTTTAGAAAACATGATAGATTAAAATGTCTTTGATGTTTATTTTGCTATATTTTCGTTGGCATCACATTACCATTTTACAGCTATGGTCCCAGGGCAGTGGAACCCCAACAAAACGGCCCCTGTGGGATTGCAGGTACCGAGGTTTGGGAGAAGCATGGTGCTGAACCAAGGCTGAAAATAAGGCATGTCCCTTTAGGAATTTGGCTCTCTTGAAATTTATTTTAGTTTTGAGTTTTCTAATTCAATTCAATTGATCAACAAGCAGGATTAAAGAAAGAAGTGTGGCACATTCAGTTCCTGTCTCGAAAAAGGAGCCTGAAATTGCTGTGCACATTGTTCCTGATGAGGGGAGCTCAAATGATGGCTATCGATGGCGCAAGGATGGTCAGAAAATGTTGAAGGGGAATTCATTCATAAGGTAGATTTTGATTCTGCTAATTTGTGCATTTAGTGGAATTAATTTTAGGGCACTCTTTTGCTGCTGTGCCTATAAATAGCATTGGACTCCTTTTTTCTTACCTTGTTGAACTTGAAGGTTCCTCATGTCTGATATTTGAAATTGGCCTGGAGAATACTTTTCCCAACCAATCCAAGTCTATCAAATCAAGATTCTTTTCAAATTTTCTTACGTAGACTCTTTATCTTCTCTTTGCTCTTCTAAACCTTACTATTCTTACTTTTATCTATCCCTTGGTGAAATGTTAGGAGCTATTACAGATGCACATCGTCAGCATGCCCTGCTCGTAAGCATGTTGAGAGGGCTGCAGATGAGGCAACATCCACCACTATAACATACGAAGGGAAACATGACCATGGTATGCCAGTACCTAAGAAAAGACATGAACATGATATTCCAGTACCTAAGAAAAGACATGGTTCAGAAAGTAGTCTGATTTCTCCGGCTGCTTCCGTAGACAATGCCTGCTGCAAGAAAAACAGAAGCTTATCTAGTAGAAGGCCTTCAAGCAAGTGCTCGATGGACAGTGAAGTAGATATAATGGGTGAGAAGATCTTGGAGCTTGGAGGTGAGGAGGCATTAGAATCAGCCCAAACTCTTCTCAGCATTGGTGTTGAATTCAAGCCTTGCTGAGAAACAAATTTTTGTAGTGGTTGATGCAAAATATAGTATCATGAACCTGTTTTTCGTGGAAATTATACAAACTTTACCAGTTTGAGTTTCAATGAAAATTTGGAGTTGTGTTTGTATTTGTGTTTAAAAAAATGTTTTAGAAAATTTTTTATTTTAAATTATTTCTTTATAATTTTTTATTGTTTTGGAAAAAAACATAAATTTTAAAAAATAAAAATATATTTTTTAATAAAAAAAACATAATGAAAAATAACAACTATCAGATAAACTAATTCTGAGGTGATAATCTGAAACCAACCTACGGGTTTCATAAAAATGGTCAGGTTTCATGAATATGGTTATTGGGGTCAATTCAGGCTTGTGTGAACCTGGAAATGCTGTTTAAATTGTGTTCTTTTAAAATGAATATATTTTTTTGTTTGAAATTATTTTTTTATTTTTTATTTTATTGTTTTAATATGTTAATTATTAAAATTATTTTTTAAAAAATAAAAAATATATTATATTAATATATTTCTAAATAAAAAACACATTTCCAAACACACCTAGCTATGGCTTCAAACCAGTATTTTTGTCGCGTCATTAAAAAAACTGAAATATATCATTATGGAGGTTCTGCTGATTTCGATAGATATTTGATCAGGTTTTATAATTATAGTAATTAACAATATAATTTTGCATTTTTTTCAACCAAAAAAGGGCAAAACACAAAGTAGAATATCAGCAAGAGATGGCTAAAAAAGATGGAACATCAACAAGAGCAAGGGATAACGAGATGCTATTATTAACTGTAAGCAGCAGAAAATGCTACATTGTCCACATTCCTTGGCTTTGTTTGCTCATGAAAATAGATTCCAGCTTCATTAAGCAAGGAAAGTAATTAGAGCAACTCTCATTACACAGCTTTGAAGGTCCCTTGTCTTCAAAACCACCGGCTTTTGGAGCCTCAATGACCTTCTCCTTGAACAGACCTAATTCCGTATCTGCACAAGAAGATGAATGACAGTCTTCTCCAGCACTCTCCTCATTGTACCCATCATCATCAGTTCCTGTTCATTTCTTCTCTGTTCGAGGTTGCCATTTTTGATAACCTGAATAGCTCTATCACCTTCTGCTTAAATGCTGCCCCCAAGGTCTTATTCTTCTTCTCAAAACATGTTTTCGTGAACTCACACCATTCATCAAGATTCACACCAGGAACCTGATCTTTTGGCTGAATGATAACCACCGAAGACTCAACTTTGGGAGCAGGAAGAAAATCTCTTGACAGCCAACCTATTAAACTCAGAATCACCAGGCTTGGCCAGCAACCGCCATGCAAATTCTTTCTGAAGATGTGTTGCACTTCGAAACAGATTCGCCCCATACACTAATTTAGCCAAGAGAGGTGAAGATATCCCATAAGGAATATTCTCTTTAACTATATCAAATTTAGGAAACTCAGCCTTCAATGCATCCTCTAGAATAACCTGCAAAACCCCATTAAGCGATTCCACAAAAGATTAAACTTTTATCATTTCCAAAGCAACTATATGTAAGTTAATAACAGAAGAAATCCAGGAATTCATTCTCCGAAAGATTACATTTTAATCACTGTAAGAGCATAATAAGTTGATAACAAAAGAAATCCATCATGTCATTCTCAAGAAAGATCAAATCTTTGTCACTATTAAAGCATAATAAATCAATAAACTCATTACCCCGTTTTCTAAAACATGACAATTTAGTCATTTTAAAACAACTTTTCTCAGGCATTTTATCAAACACCTGTAAACAAACCAAACTCACAGTTTCTCTTCAAGCCCATGCTCTTTTACACGTTTGCTAACAACCCAACCATCCTTTAATCAATTTCAAAGCAACAACTTTAGAAACGACATTAAGCAGCTTCAGAGTGAGGTTTCCAGTTCCTGGTCCCTTGCTCGGTTCTTAAGAAAAACAAGGATGGAAAAAAAGCCTGCCAAATGTTGCAGATACCCCCAGAATAAAGACAAGCCATATATATTATTATGCAGATCAGATTCTGTTCCTAACAAAGGCCATAAACGATGATGAAATCATAATGGACTTCTGTTTGTTGAATCATCCTTGACAAAAAGAGAGCAGAAGCACCATCACCTCTGCAAAATTTTATCTGAGCTAACCGGAAAAAAAAGGCCTCGAATAATGGCCATGAAAGATGCTGTTGGCATGGCTTGCACAACAAATTATGTAAGAACCTATTCTAAGAAAAACATGAAATAGGCTAAATTCCAGCTCCTGCTGCAATAATAGAGCAGGCAAGTAATGCAAAGATGGAAGGCAATAGATCACCCGTGTCTTCAAGGACCCTCATCATTCCTGTTTGTAAATGGCCCCAGTCATTTGCATCCAGCATTCCCTGCAATGTTGTTGGCAGCTCCAAGTCTGGTTCAAGCTCCCTGAGTCGAGAGAAATAGCTATCCACCATGTCTTTGCTTACTTCTCCTAATCTTGAAGGGTCCCACTGCAGTTTTTTTTATTGGAAGCACATTACTAATTTAAGCAAGAAAGATCACATGAAACAGAATGACTATAAGTGAACTAAATATCTCCGGAGCATAATCCTTATCTACTAACCAAGCACGAACACCCTAAGGAAAAAACAACAGAATTCCAGTACTTACAAGATATTGGATCTTAAAAATGTTTTGCAGCATGTAAGGCAAATATATGCAAGGAGGAAAATGGTAAGAAAAAGTTCCCTCACAAAAATCATTAGACACTCTTTTGGAGATTCCAGTTAGAGATATACAATATTCACGAGCAAGACACTGGTCAAGAGACTGAAATCTACCTTCTCGTATCTAAATGCAACAGAAACTGAAGTCAACACAATAAAATAAAAATAGACACCACCATAGTTGTGAAGCATTATTAACTTACCATTTTTAAGCTCAGTGGAGCGGTTTCTTTTATTTTGCTGATGGCTCTTTCACACCATTCATCATAAGTGCTAGCTTTCTCATTTTCCTGAGAAGATAAATAGTGAAATGCCTGACATGTAATTGCAGCATGAAGGACATCACGTATAAAATGAAGCTTACCAGTGCATCAACAATTTCCTCAACTGTATCGTGGCTGAAACATTTATCAAATGTCTCAAACCTGAAACAGAATTGATGGAAATGATGAAATAAAGTAGGACATGCAGGTTATAAGTGCCATATCATGTATAAAAGCAAAGATGCCTTTCTTTTTATTCTTTTCTTTCTTGGATGTTACAAGAAATTGAACCCAGGAATTCCCAAGAAACTACCCAATTCCCTCGCCACTGGCCCAATCTCAGTGGCTTAGTTATGATGTCTTGTAAGAATGCTTATATGTCATCACTGTCAAATTAATAATTTTTTTAATGTAACTAAAATCAACGCAACAGAAAACAGAGTGAAAGGGTAAGAAATGCATATTAAGACATTACTTGTACAGGATGCTTGTCTTATCTGGATAGACAAGGTCACCATATTGTGCAAGAGAAGTCTCTATGACAGTAGCCTCATCTGTGATCAATTTACCAAGGCGTTCTTCAACCAAATCAAGTCTCTGTTGAGGAAGACATTATGACAGGCCATGCAAAAGTTATAGATGTGAAGAAAGAGTACTGCAAGAGAAGGAATATAGTAGTAGACTGCAGTGCGAACAGACCTCATGTAACGTATAGTGAGAAGCAAGGCCACAAGCAATCATTTCTACAGCATTAAGCTTGTCTTCTGTTAGAGCCAAGTATTTCCCTGAAACAAAGAATACAATCATGAGAGAGAAAAATGCAGTTCATAAGAAAATAAAAGTATCAAACAGAACATATAATAAACAATGCATACTCAAAAGCAGGGACAACTGGTGTTACTTAAGTAACCAGGCAGGCAAGAAAGATAAAAGGAGGCCCCGTGTCAGGTGGAAACTTATTTGAGCCTCTATGTCACACGTGTGCTGTGTCGCGGTGATCATTCACCCTCAAGGTGTGTTGTCTGTCTAGGCAAATATGGAGAGACAAGGAATTCTTATTTTTTTCCATGGAAAAAGAGAATGAGAGTCGTCACCTAGTATTTTGATCAGTAAACTCTGGATGAGCAAAAACCTGCATGTCATGCATAAAAACCATGGCAACTACATCAATATTATATATAGAACACAGTTTCAAAATTGTCTGACTCAAATTAAAGAAAATTATTAACGTTTCACTCAGATGTTAACCTGTAGCACCAGTCACTCACAGTTTTATCAGTTGCCACACGAAACATTCCTGCTACTGCAATCCCAGCCCCAGATCCCACGGTGAAACCATCCAAGATGGCCACCTGAAAGAATGTGTAACAATAAGAAAGTAAATTTAAAAGCTACTGCAAATGCAGTCCAACAAATAAAAAATTATGCTCTTGTTATGAGATAATAGGATTCCCTTCATAAATCTTGTAGCGCAAACATGAGAAGCAAGATAATAGAATATCCAAATACCATTACTTGGCTCTTAACAGATTGAACTCCGCATAGAAATTTTCTAAAAGATTGAATTCTCACATGTGGCTTCAAATATGTTGCTTGTAGGTAGACAAACTTATACAACTTATACAATTTCTGGAAATATGTTTTGCATTCTTCAAATTTCACTGTACATGATCAAAATACCATTTGGAAGTATATTAGCAACAACTTCAGTAATCATTAGTATTTGTAAATGTGAACAAAAGGCTGCATTTGAATAAGAAGCAACACTAAAAAGCTCGAAGTTAAGCATGAAGTGACATGAAAAGTTGACATACAAGGTTAAAAATCAGCAATTATTTCCCAGTGATCAAAAGAACGATACAGATGAAGTGAAACACTTATAATCAAAGCCGGGGCCTGGTCATCTCAAGCAGTTATTTGTGAGTGGCAAACAAATCTAATCAATGTTTAGGGATTGGCTTTCATCAGTTACCAGAAAAAAAAAGGGTTTGATTTGGCCTTTGAAGTTTGAACAATCTCTCTTAAATATAACATTGACATGGGATCACTAATGTACAGGAAGGGATGTGGTTCATTCCAATTCAAAATTCCATGGACATGCAGCCTAGTGGCTCAAGAACTCCGAGAATCAGGCGCACTTAATTGCATGTGTGTGGCGGTACACGAGCATGAAAACCCACCTTCATTTAAAAACTCACAAAGGGAAACAACATCTGCCCTGGAACAAAAAGCCTTGCCACTACCCTTCATATTCATAATATAAAAAAGAAAGTGGGTCAAGCTCTGAGCATGACCAATTTGGAGTACAGAAAGCAGTGTTAAATTTTAAAAAACCCTCACAGCAACAAAGTAAAAGCATTTGGCAAACATGTTTATAACATATGGTTATAAGAATTCAAAGCTCTATACCTTCATTAAGACAAATCCAATATCAGGGTTCTCTTCCCATGATTCCTACAGTCTCTTCAACCGAGCCTCCTACCAAGTAAAAGACCGTCAAATTATTTACAGTTTTTCCATATAGCTACTAAAAACAAAAAGGACTCGAGCCTTTCAATTGAGCACAAGCATTTCTAAACAAATAAACAAAAGCTCCATTCTTGTGAGCATTCACTACATGCATTCTTGTGAGTCTTCTCTACATAAATAAACCATTTCTCAAAACAAAACAGATGTCATACGCACACAATATGCACAAAGAACAAATTCTTAAGCAAAAAGGACCGAAACCTTGCATTAAAAAGACTCAAACTCTAAATTGGGTGCAAATATCTTAAACTAATGAACAGACGCTCCATTCTTCTAAATCTGATCTTAATTAACGAAAAAAATTTCGATTCAAAACCAAATGGCACCCACACACAATATACACAAAGAACAAGTTTTAAAGCTAGAACTTAGAAGACTGGGACTTTCTACTTACAAACCCCAATCTTTCAACTGGGTACAGACAATTTTACGAAAATACAAGAAAGCTCCATCCTTGTGAGTCTTCTCTTCATAAATGAACCAATTCTCAAAGAAAAGCAAGTGCACGCACAGAGACCAAAAATTTAAGCTAAGAGACTGAATCCTTCAATTGGGTGCAGACATTTCTAACCAGAAACACATACAGAAACTGACCTGGTCTTGGGGATCATCATTTGGAGCAGAGTATGGTAAAGCTGAGAAATTTCTCTGATAAGAGAGAAACCCATTTCTTGTTTGCTTTAAATTTATCAGTCCTTTCAATCTCTGCATCATCTCACGCTCTCTTTGCTACTGCTGTTTCTTGAGTTCGCTTCTCTATCGATGGAGGCCACCTTCCCTTGGTTTTTTAGCTCGCTGTTCAGGGCGTTTAGCTCTCGCTTGGGCGTGACCAAGTGTGGGAGCTTTCCAAGAGGCTCCGGGGTTTTTCTTTAACGGGATGCATCACGACTGTAGTTTTAAAATCCGGACGCAGGTTAACCTCGGACCTGACCCGGTTTGGGTTAAAAAAAAATAATAGAAAGAATTCATCTAGAACTATAAAAACCTGAATTGACTTACTATTTGATAAAAATATTTTGATTTTTTAAATTTTTTAAAAATAATCTGATTTTAATATTTTTTTTAAACCATCCCAGATTAACAATCATCCATAACTCAAGTCTTATTTCAAGTTAATTTTTGAGTTTTTCTTATCGAGGGTTTAATTTGAGTTTTAAATTTATTACATCCTAATAAAATCCTAAGAATTGAATTAGACTTTAGAAAACGTTGCTTGTCATCCTCGAAGAACTAGATGTTGCTCCAAATATTATCATCTATTTAAATGATATTGCTCCAAAGATTACCGATATTACCTTATTAATTTTGTAAATATGAATAGTGAAGAAGTTGCTCTCATTTGTTTTAAAATTTCATCTTCTATTGATTTTAATTTTTTTTTAGTTTTAACTTTCAATAATACATTGATTTTGACTTTTATTTATAATTTATTTTAGTTTTTTTAAAAGAATTTTATATAATTTTAAATAAATATTTTAATTTTTAATACTTAATATTTTATGAGTATCTACTTTTTATTACTATATCATTAAATAAAAATTTATTTAAATCTAATAGAGTTTATAATTTAAATTATAAGTTTAACAGATTAAGTTTAAAATTTAAATTGATCTATTATATTATTATTATTGATTTAATATTAAAAAATTATAATTTAGATTTTTTAAGTTAAATTGTTACTTTTAAACTTGTTAAATAAATTAGATCATATAAAAATAACTTTTATATAAATTAATTTTAAACTTGTACTAAAAAAATCAAGTTGAAATCAACTTATTAATTAAATTTAACAACAATACTAAATAATTTTATCAATTCTAAATACTTCTTTCACAATTATATATATATATATATATATTTTAAATACTTCTTTCACAATTATATATACAATTATATATATATATATATATTCAACCCAAGTCTTGTACTAATAAGGAAATCTTGCTTTGTGAACCTAACTATTCTTCCTATCTATCTTTACTTGAGACAATAAAAATCTTAATTGAGTTGTCCTTTATCACCCAGAAATATCTTTGTACAAAGAGAAACTTTAGCATTGTTGCTGGCTGTCAAGAGAATCTTTCAGACAACATAGACTTGATCACATAGCTATGAGGTCAAAAATTGACAAAAGGAGAGGCCATGAAAAATTTAACTAGCAGAGAAGAAACAAGAAGAGGAAGAATTTAAACCTTCATGACATCATATACATGAAAGAAATCATAGGTTAGCTGGACAACTTTTCCAGGATAATCTACGTGAATTTCATACATAAACAGAGAATAAAACCCCCTTCATCTACTGGAATAAAAGCCTACCACTTTTTACACTTGAACAGTTTTTGACCATCTTCTTCCCTTGCCATGTCCTGATGAAGCTCATATTCTTTCTCTAGGAGATGGAGTGTCTCCTTTGTCTTGAAGATGAACCGAAGGACTTGGTGTCACCAGGAGCGATTGAAGTTGGGCTCTGCGAACTCCCAGAAGTCTCTGAGCTTCTGTTCTCAACATGCCCTCTGCCCACAACCCACAATCTATCAAAGATCCTCTTTGATCGAGATGGCAGCAACTGCACACCATTTTTGGGAATCTTGCTGTTTTTCTTCAGAAGTTTTCCATTTTTCAGGAAATCTTCATCTTTTATCTTCATTCGACTCATCTGTTTCATGAGGGATTTATTACCATCAGCTGCTGTCTTCTCCCATTCTTCATCTGTGTTTGTTGTGGAATTTGAAGTATCGCGGGCTTTGTTGTTGAGAGCTTGAACTCCAGAAGCTGCTCTAACCTGCTCAAAAAAGAGAACTTGGACGACAACACGGAGAGGGAGCCGCTCATTCTGTGCAGCATGCGTGGATGCATCCGTGGTCAGTTTCTTGACATCCATGAGCCCACATACCTTCTTTTTTTCTGCCTTTGTCAAACTGAGATGTTCCTGAATTAAATGAACCATTGGTGAATCATAACATAGAAGTATTCCATGGGAGTGTTTATAAAGAAACGACGGTGACATGAAGAATCCCCCCCAACCCCACAAAAAAAAAAAAAAAAAAAAAAAAAAAGGGGTGTTTATAAAGAAACGACGGTGACATGAAGAATCCCCCCCAACCCCACAAAAAAAAAAAAAAAAAAAAAAAAACAGGTCGGTTCTTCAGCATAGGCAAAGCAGTTTATGGTATTTTCTATACGGAAAAAATCACCAAGCACAACAGATTTCAGGTGACCATACTGCTTGAAACCAACAAATGTGGCATCTTCCATCTAACTTGGCTTGATCCGAGAACTGTCGTGTGTGTTGCAAGCATCAGAAACAAAGTGATATCATGACAATATCTAGTATTAACTATGCAAACATGCACAAATCCTATGGGTGCCTAAATCATATAACCAAAAGATTAAATAAGACTAAATGAAATTACTCAAGGCACAAAATACTACCTTCAGGTAGATGTCAATGGCTTTGTACAGTACATCGTGAATTGGTCTTGCAAACTCAGGAATTGACAGTGACAGGTCAACGAAACTGGAGATGGTGAGATTTGGGTCATATGCAATTTCTGTTAGATATCCATCAATCAATTTACCAACATTCATCAAGGTTACATGCTCGTGCCCTAAAATAAAGTCGCCATTCTCCTCATGCTTCGTATCCTGACTGCACTTTCCATGCATCAAAGAACGACTAACAATGCACTGAATCAATTCCACATCATATAATGTGTTTTGAGGAGGCTGTGCTGGGATCAGCAAATCCTTAACAGAAGCCTCATGCAACTTTAAACTGATCCTCTTCACTAAATATTCCCTGGCAGAGTCATCTACTCCAACCAGAATGGCAAATTTCAACAATTTCAACAGGAAACTACACGAACAACCAGCAGCCTTGTCTGGAGGCAACAAACAGATGAGGGTTTCTACCAGATATCTGTACCTCAAGGTACGAGCATCAGAAACTGAGTCATCAAATGAATCTGGCAGCCATCTGACTGCATAAGTTTTCAGTGCTTCCCCAATCACTTTGCCATCCATTCTTCCCTTTGATTTCACAGTGATCATGACTCTCTTGTAGAGATCAATATCCAGTTCAGATATATCTTCAACCCACCAATCCTTGGGAACAGAATCAATTTTATCCCTGAAATTCATCCCTTCCTCGACTATTTTATCAGGCACTGATAACTTACGGTTATATGTGTAGGACCAGGTAATACTTGCAGGGTCCACAGAGGTTTTAGATGCAATGGAATCTATGCAGCTGCCCACAATCTTCAGATCTTCAGACCACGGCAGAAGAGATTTGGTGGTCTGAAGAACAATAATGGAATCCTTCCAGCTACGGAAGATACTGGAGTTCAGAAATACTTCAATTTTAAAAATAAGGTTCCCTCGATCAACACCCTCGGTCATCTCAAGATACTCGGCCGCACAACGAGCAGTGACAACATTGTAAGCATTGAGAGTAACTATCATTCCATAGCAGAATTTGGCACAAATTTCAAAAGACTTTGGCCCACCAGGAAAATCAACAATGTCAATTTCATTCTCCTCACCAGCTTTTGACAGTAGCATTAGCAAGCGATTGCTCTTGGACATGAGAGGGAACTGCAAAGTTCATCAAAGCAACTCATCGGGAATCATGGAAACAAAAACACAAAATAAAAGGAGCTGTAACTCAAGCTATGAAAGGGATATATGCTGACCAAGTATTCAACACCTTAAATTAACTAGCTGGTGGAGTAAGTCCTTTAATTTGAATAAGATAAAATCTCAACTACCAAGTGATTAGGTCTCAGTATAAAAAGATAAAATAGGGAGAGCATAATCAAGCTTCAATTAATTCTACCATCAACAGCACATGGCAAGACCACTATTGAGTTTAGTTAAAACATTGTGTCCAGGAAAAAACATTCTGATCACCCTTTCATGAAAACATGACTTGGTTTATTTCTTTTGGGTTAATGGCTCAATCTATTCTTATATCCCTAATTGATCCAATTTAATCGTTAAATATATGTTAAGTTTCTAATCTACCATTCTAACATGATTCTCAAACTAAACAACCAGAATTAATCACGTGATTTGCACATGAAAGCATTCCATTTGTCTAGCTTGCAAAAACATTTTGAGAAGAAAAAAATAATCATGTGCAAATTGCATGACTAATTCTGGTGATTTAGCTTGAAAATCTTACCAGAGGATAGATTAAAAATTAATGTATATTTGAGAATAAAATTGATTCAATTAGGGATACAAGGACAGAATGGAGAATTATCTTCTTATAAAAGGACATATTCAGCCAGTAACCCTTAGTTTCTATTGCTTTTCCAATCCTTTCAATGGACAATATACTTTTACTGGAAATTAATTTATAACCAACTCACAATCCAACATACAATTGGCGACAAGGGATAGTAAAAGAAAAGAATAAAAAAATTAAGTACATGCTTGGACCATGTTTCTGATTTTGTAGTTACTTACAATCTTGAGAATAATTATTTCCTTGAGGCAGTCACCTATTTAAATTTGCATATTATTGAGATTTAAGGGTTCCACAATATTCCACTGCTAAGACTAAAGCAATGAACTTGACAGTTCCTCAAGAAGAACCGATATAGAGTTATCATTCTCTAGATATTTGAAGATGTTTATGAGTGGATGTTGATGGAATAGAGCACCGTGGCCAACTAAATTCGATATATCCTGCCAAAATTCACCATAAGCAAAGATACTGCAGAGAACATACCTTGTGGAGGTTAAATTTAACTTCTCCAACATTTATGGTGACATCTGTTTCCAGTTCGGATGCCACATACCTGCATAAGCACAACTAACTTGCTAAGCTTACAGGAGAATTCAATGTTGAGCACGTGATAGGCAAGCAATAGATGCAATGGCAGGGTAAGACACCACAA